CCCTTTACGGTCGCCTCCACGACCAGCAAGCCCGGCTTGCATACACGTTCCGTTTTCAAAAGCACGGAGCTCTTCGAAGCTGGGCCCTGTTGACCTTTGTTCCCTGAGGCTAAACATAACTCAGTTCTTTCCCAGTAGGTCACCCCGCGCCTACTGGGTGGTCTCATTACCCCGCGTCGAACCAGACTGGTAGGCGTTGGAGCGATGGTTCCAAGAATCTTGATGCGCCTTGCGCAGGGAACAATCGTTCCGCAGGTGACGGGAATCTCCACAGACAAAATACCGTCGAAGATGTGTACGCTGTCAGGCAGCTCGGAGCTCTGCTCCCTCGTCTCCAGCATAGCTGAGATCCATGGGCACAGGCCCGCTGGACGAGGTGTTAACGTGTGCATTCCAACCAGTCATGCTGACTTGAAGTTATATTCGGCATTCAATGCCACATTCATCGTCTCTTCAAACGAAGACGGATGCACACGGAAGACTTCCATTCCGTCCACGCCAGTGGGGAGGTCTTTCATAAAGACGGTCACAGTGACCGCCTCCGGGAGAAATCTGCTTCCCTCCCGGCGATGAGAGCTCGAATCTCTTGGACAAAGTCCACCAATTCCTTGTTGCCCTGTCGGGCGGTAAGGAAACGTGATCGCACGCGATACGCCTGGTTAGGCGGCGAGAACACTCATGAGAGCTGCAATTTCAGCTCCGCCCAGGAGGGAAACGCAGCTCCGACTGATGTGCCGCACGTCACTGCCCATTCTCGCGCTCGACCACCGAGCTTTGAGATGGCTAGCGTCACGCGCTGTTGCTTGGACTGGAGCATGGCGGATGCAATGACCATCCCGATCTCTCTCACCCAGAGCTGGAGATCTCTCCATCCTTCCCCTCAAAGACTTTAACGCTCACCATGAGCGGCTTAGGTCGGGGAAAGTCATTCGTCACCGACGGTGACATCAAAACGCAAACGGTGCAGACATCTTCTGCTGCAGGTGCTCTAGCAGCGCGTATCTGTAATTTACAAATGCCTCTAGACGCACATCGATTGCCTCGGGGCCTTGTGCTACAAGGTATTGCACGCCCTCAGGGCCAAGCAAGGACATCAGCTTGTTATGCCCGTCCTGCATGCCGTGGGCAAAGAGGAAAACTCATCCATCCTCACAGAGGATCAGTCAAAACGACTCAGGTTTCGATTGACTACAAGTGCTACCAAGTTCAGCGGGGCTGCCGTAGCTTAACACTTGAGGAAGCGTACTTTAGGTCAGCGAGCTTTCGTTCTTTACAAGTACCAAGTATGAGTTAGCGGAGCGCATTCCGCTTACTCCAAGATTAATTATAGCCTTAACCCAAGGCTAATCGAATTTTTGGTTTAAATTCAAAATCTGATTTTCATTTATTTTTATTCTAATCTTAAGAGTTTAGATTTTCCTAAATATAC